TAGGGACACTCGTCATTGCCTCTTAGTCGTCTCTGCCTATTCTCCCACTGACTGCAGCTCAGATGATGTAAAAGATGAGTTTTACAGAAAGCTTTCGGACCTTCTCCGAAAAGCTAGGCGCTCGGATGTAGTATTAGTGGCCGGTGACTTTAATGCTCAAGTAGGTAAACTAAGCGATAAGGAAAGACACCTAGGTGGATCCTATGGTATCGTGGCTCAAAGAACAGATAATGGCAACCGTCTGTTGCAGCTATGCTCAGATAATCGCCTGTTCCTTGCAAACACTAACTTTAAGCATAAGAAAAAACATCTTTTGACATGGCAACCCTCTAATTCGTCCCAACGTTGGACCCAAATAGATCACATCGCTATCAGCCACCGATGGAGGGGCTCGATAGAAGACTGTCGCTCATTCTGGAGCACATGCCTAGATTCAGATCATGCTCTAGTGCGCGCGCGTATTTGCTTGCGTCTTACTGGACGTAGGAAAGATCCTGCAAGGAAACCTCTTAGGGCCCTACTTAATGATAGTCAAGCTAAGAGTATATTTCAGGAACAACTAGGAAAACAGTTAGGCAGCCATGTATGTGATGCCCACCTCGATGCAGCATGGAATGATATCCGAAAAGCTGGGGAAACAGCAGTGATATCTGCTAGTAAGGTAAACCAGAAGGTTAGGGAGCAACACTGGATCTCAGCAGCATCTATCTCACTGATAAATGCTCGGAAACACATTCCACCTGGCTCTGAACATAATGAAGAGCGGAGTCAGCTTAAGCGCAAGCTGACAAGAAGTCTACGCAATGATCGCGAACAGTGGTGGGTAGCGAAAGCAGGAGAGATGGAAAAGGCAGCGGCAATAGGTAATAGCAGACAATTGTTTAGACTCGTTAAGGAAACCGGAATTAGGAACCCGACCGTTAGCGAAACAATCTCAGAGAAAGATGGACATATTATTCATTCTCAATCCAGGAGATTGGATCGATGGGCAGAACACTTTAGGGATCAGTTCAACTGGCCTTGAGCCACACTTCGGTTTCCCACGATCTCCAGTCAACCTGAATGGCAAGTTAATGTGAGTCCTCCGTCCCTTTACGAAGTTGAAAAAGCCATAGGAAATCTGAAACGAGGGAGAGCAGCAGGCCCTGACAGGTTTACTCCTGAGATTTTTAAGGATGGTGGTCCAGTATTAGCAATGAGATTAACCGAGGTCTTAGGCAGAATTTGGGAACTGGACGTAATCCCATCTGACTGGTCTCAATCACTGATTGTGCCAGTCTATAAGAAAGGACAAAAGTCCTCTTGTGACAATCACGGAGGAATCAGTTTGACCAATATAGCGTCTAAAATGTTAGCTTCAATAATACTTCGACGTCTAATCAAAGCTCGTGAAGTGCAGATTAGAGAAAACCAGGCTGGTTTTCGACCTGGACGTGGTTGTATAGACCAGATATTTACATTACGTCAGGTTCTAGAACACAGATACACGTTCAGACGTCCCACAATCGTAGTATTTCTCGACCTTTAGGCGGCATTCGACTCTGTTGATCGTGAGGTTCTCTGGCAGTGTTTGTCACTGAAAGGAGTACCAAAGAAGTACATTAACCTTATACAGGCTCTCTACTCGAACACAACTGGTAGAGTGAGAGCTTATGGCGAACTGTCATCAGAATTGATTACCTCAAGTGGTGTTCGTCAGGGCTGTCCACTCTCCCCATTCTTGTTCAACTTTGTCATTGACGTACTTTTAGAGATAACACTCCCCTCATCTAAATTTCCAGGGGTTGAACTTCTACCAGGAGGTTCACTTGTTGACTTAGAATATGCAGATGACATAGTTTTATTTGGTGAAGACGCTGACAAAATGCAGAGTCTTCTGACCACTCTAAGCAACAATGCAAGCATGTTCGGGATGCGATTCTCCCGCCCCCCCCCCGAAATGCAAAATGTTACTTCAGGATTGGGTTACATCGACACCCGAACTAGTGATAGGGAGTGAAGTAGTTGAGTGTGTCGACCGCTTCACTTATCTTGGAAGTCTCATCAGCCCTTGTGGTCTGGTGTGTGACGAAATCTCAGCACGGATACAGAAGGCTCGACTAGCTTTTGCCAACTTGCGTCATTTATGGCGTAGGCGAGATATCCGTCTATCAACCGAAGGACGTGTTTACTGCGCAGCAGTTCGTTCCGTCCTACTTTATGGTAGTGAAACATGGCCGGTAAGAGTAGAGGATATCCGTAGGTTACTAGTATTCGATCATAGGTGTCTTCGAAACATTGCTCGTATATCATGGGACCATCGAGTAAGTAACACAGTTGTTAGGAAACGGGTACTAGGTAAGGATGGCAAATCAATTGATGAAGTAGTGAAACTTCATCAGTTGAGATGGCTGGGACACGTGTTACGTATGCCCAACGACCGACTGCCTCGACGTGCTATGTTCAGTGGTATAGGAGTAGGTTGGAAGAAAGCTAGGGGCGGCCAAACCAAAACATGGCACAAGTCCATGAAGTCACTGACAAGTGAACTGAGTCATGTTGGTAGGTGTAGACTACCTGGTTGGAGACCGCGAGATGATAGCAACCGATGGTTAGAGACCCTGAATGACATGGCTCAAAATCGTTTGCAATGGCGCAGGTGCATACACTCTCTGTGTTCTCCCAAATTCTAATCTTCTGAATCCTTCATGTCCCTTTTTTCCTCCTTCCAAATTTCTTTCACTGGATTATACTCCTTGAATAACATCTTCAAACCCTAATCTTCCCGATTACTGCTTATACTCTTATTACCTCTACCACTACGGGATTTGAATCGACAAGTGCATCTCTGAGCTAATGTGGTGTGGCAACTCGAACTGATGTACATACGTACGAAGTTCTACGTTGTTACTGACTGACTGACTGAAATGTCTTTTAGGTGTTTCGCTCATTAAAACGGTCTCATGTAGTTGAAAAACGGACATACGGCTTTTGATAACCTAATATTTTGTCCCGACTTCCTATTTAATTAGTATCCATTTGTGAAGCATTCGTTAGTCATAAATTATGGGTTTCAACAATTGCGCAGTATGAATTATTTGTTATATCATTTCGTCTAAGCAGCACCTTCATTTATTTGAAGGTTTTGAGTTGTCGAAAATAGTGAGTTTAATTGGTCATGTGGACCAGATGATTAACCACTGCTAACCTTTTTAGGCACCATATTGAACGGAGATGACTATGGGTTATCAGGTGGACGGATTTTTTTCAGTCACTTTCACCAGCAACAACAAATAAGTAGTTCACGAGTCTGCTTAAACTCAAGTTACGGTAAGCCTACATTTAGCTGTATGTGACAATCAGTTTTCTATCTTCCTCCTGCAGATTGAGGATAGGGTCTCGTATACGACTGTTAGAACTTGCAAAAATAATGCCAATGACAACATACACACACCATTACATCTATGATGCACAAAACATGACTAAATCTACCGACTACAATTACTGTCACGCGTGCCGGGGGAGTTTCCCGAAGTTTGTTGTAGATGTCTTGAGATTGGGAGAAATTTAGGGATTTACGCAATCTCTGGACGACTTGTCATAGGTAAAATGGTGGGAACGCCAACCTGGGTTATTTGTTTTCCGCAGTATAGAATCACATCTCCTGCGTATTATTTTCTTACACAGAGAGTACATCAGCCATGTCTCACAATTTGCGATCATTTATAGGTTAGGAGTGAAGCTACACCCAGGATTTCACGTGGGTCGCCGCACAAGAGTGATTCAAGTTATGAAAGTAGCAAAATCTGGATTACCTGGAAAGACAATCCTCATAAACTACCCTCATCCTAAAATTTTGCATGTACATTTGTGGACTTATTAAAACGTAACACTTTCACAGGAGTTAGAATAAGTTTATTTTTAGGCTCTTGCTGATAACTATTTTCCGTGTTATCACAAAGTATGATAATCCGAACCAAAATGGCGCCAAGTCCCTTCAATAAATTGACAAACATAAAGGAGTACAACTGATTGTTAATGTGCATATTTGCTGGCTGAAACTTGAGTCACTGCACCACTCATAAAGATATATACTCAGTCGTTTAATGAATCTTAATTTACTTAGTTCGAAACTACGGGAATCGATAAATCTAAAGATTAGGCCACAAGTCCCACAAACAAATTCATGACTAACATATATTTATATATGTCGACCAAAAACTAATCGACTTTGACAGAAACACTGAGTTGGCATAATCAGTGGATAGCGAGTCAAATAAATTGGAGTGTGTTACAAGTACCAAAGTACCACTTAATATCACAAGCCAACTGACTTATACAGAAATAAGTTGGAAACGTTTAAAATAATCATACTAAAACAAAACTATTCCATAAAATCAATAGTGATAATAATCATAAACCTGATCATTTTTATTGATTAGAGCACGAGATAATCATAATCAGATGTTTAGTTTTTGATGAAATGATTAAAATTCTCCTATTAAAATGATAATGAAAAATTTTCATAATCCTGACTACTTTACCTTTTCTCTTTTTTGTTAGTTCTCTACCCTTCCCCCTTACGAAACTAACAAATAAAGACCTAGTAATAAGTTGAACGTCAAACATTTATTCATAAATCATACTACATAAAGCTGACTGCATTAATCAATTATGATTTATTAACTGTTGAGTAGAAATTATATATAAATATAAAATAATGAATGAAACACATAAGTTTGCTCGACAATAACAGTTAGTTATGTAATACTTAGGTTCTTTTCTCGTTAGCAACGAGTTAACTTAACCAGTCACTGATAGGATACGAAAGAAACCAAAATCTTTAATGACTAAAATCTAAGACATTAATGAAGAAAATTGTTTGTCATACAAAAAGGAGATTGGGAAAACTGATTGCTATTGTGAAAAAAAGTTGATTATCTATTCGTTGTTTAATGAGAAAGTTATTTATAATGATAGCAAAAGTTTACTTTTTGAAACGACAAAAAACAAAAATACGTTCAACATCCCGGTGATTGTATTAGCATGCCATTCCTCTGTGATGACCGATTAACTATTGCAGATGCATTCCCATTTAAATGATCATGACAGTCAAGTGGATTCTGACCATTACAACTACTAATATGGTTAGAAACATTAGAAATGGAAATATCACTATTTTCCAATTTGTTTTGATTATCTTTAATATTCCCTGAAACAGAAGAGGAAGCCAAACAAGAGAGACTATAATTTTGTAAGAGAGCGAATCGTGCACGAGTCGGACATGCTCCAGTTAGCAAACGATGAACAGCTTCCGCATTTCGTAACTAAAAAGAAGCAAATATTGAAAGAAAGAGAATAAATGTGGGGATAATAAGTATAATCTGAATTTTACAGAGAACTAATGTTATCATGAATGACTCGGATTAGCCTCAATAAAAGATTGTTGGTTCCATTAGTTCAGCGAAATTACGTCCTCTTTTTAAATGTTGAGATGATTTTTTCACCCTCGTAGTATATCACTGAAGCGAAGGCAGATAATACACTTTGCTCCCAGGTCAAAAGGATCACAAGTCACAAGCTTATATATATACAGTTACTGTACAGATTAATTTGTTTTACCAACGCAGCTCCTAAAGATCACTAGTGTTTTCTATTCCTCATACGGTGGACCAGCTAGGTAATTAGGACGAGTGAATAGTTTGCTGAATAAGTGGCAGATCACAACATTTTGCATGACATGCGGCTGCCAACAGCCAGTTTTTGTCAGAGGACAGGCCAGACCATACTTGTAACTAGCTGTCGTAATAAATGTGTGACGTATCCATTGTTTTATTTCCGATTTCTACATACTACTAATGAACCACATATTTTAAGTCACAAACAGGTTTCAGTTAGGAAACCATGCGGAAGTAGGAAGAATTCGACAGTTGTTTCGTCCCAGTAAGGGACTTCAGAAACATCTACAAAGGGCAGAGTCGGGTGTCACATTTTTAACTGGATGATTACCTATCCTGCTACTATGCTTAGTATAGTTCCAGAAACTTTCATAAGCCCAAGTTTGAATAGATAGTTTATAGCTGACAGTGAAGTACAACACACACATAATTTGTTTTATATGAGACTGATCAGCTAGATAGACCAACAAAATGGCTATATTGAGACGATCAACATAAGAATGAACATTTAACAAAGAACACTGATTAAAAATCAGTTTTGAATAACAATAACAAAGTAATTGAAACTTTTACGAATAATGATCTAAAAATTAAGTTTAATTCACATTGTAATTATGTAAAAGTAAATTAAATTTTTAACTTTAACTAACCTTTACTCTAATCCAATTCGATGCAGGCATATTAAAATAATCAACTAATTGATGCAATAAATACAAAGCATCATTAAAGCCTTGAAATACTTCTGTAGATCGATCTTTCATCGCTTTGGTTGTTATAGTCTTCATTATTTTATCATCACCATTATCATTATGATTGAGACTTTTTAATTTTATAATTAAAACGTCAATAAACCAACTAGTGGCGATCATAGACCAAGCCTTGAAAAATAAAATATGTTTGAGAAATTTATCTAATCAGTTAATTTAGTGTAATAATAATAATAATTATTATAATTATAATAATAATAATTATTATTATTATACTTGTGAAAACTTCAAAGTATTAGGCCCTACTTTATGTATGTGTGAGTGAGTGGTTAGCGGATATTCTAGTTTTATGTAAAACAAATAAGAGACCGAAATAAGAACGATGATTGATATCGTCATTGTATTATAATTGAGGGAGAGAGAGAGAGAGAGAAAAAGATGTCAAATTATGGCATTAATTAAACAATTATCTACATCTAATAATAACAATAAGTAGGTAAAATAGGTAATAATGAAATTTCAACATCAAAGCTTACATATACAATTCAACAATGTTAAGTATGTACAACATATAATAATAACAATACTACACGTAAGCACTTCGAGTAGAAAAAAAATGTACCGTTTACTAGAGTCATATGAAAAACATGCTATTACACTAATATTACATCAGCGAAGGAATTAGAAAAAGTAGGTTGGATTGTGTTCGTATTTTTCTACTATAAACTTGAGGTTTTTCAATAAACTATAAAAATCTTAATGATACTATATAGTTAAATGAGAAATATATAGTACACAATATGTGTACCATATATGTGAAAATCGGACGTCATAATCACTAACAAACACAAAACAAAAATAATTTTTGCAGTTCAGAAAATAAGATCTTAAGTATGATAATTAATTACAAAACAGTAGTAAGTGGGAGATTGCCTAGAAGTTAAGGCATTTGATTTTTTATTATCGAGATTTGAGAAACCAAGCAGATATAACAGGTTATCACCACATAATAAATTATTGACTAAAAGCCAAATACATAAATCTGTACTTGTTAAACAAGTTATTAAGATACATATATAGACGTTTTATTCAGTTAGTGATAAGAAAATTGACTAAACTATATCCCGACAGCGAGATGAAATTGTCAAGACAAATCCTAGGGTTTATATCTTTCAGTCGTTGGTGTAAGGAATGCAAGCAACCAGTTCATTTTTCTTATATGTGCACATGGACTAGGTAATCTAAACTTAGCAACACAGTTCAGTCCAACAATTAGCGATATCATAGGTTGATATCACGCCTTAAACTGGTTGTGCTTAGTTTTCTTTTAGCCTACTCTTACACTGGTAAGCATAGTGCGTCGAAGTGGTAGTGTAAAACACGACGATAAGCAGGAGGTATGTATCTTTATTGCGAGAAGCTATGAAGTATTTACATAGTACATATACATAGTCTTCAATGGTCCATTTGTATCTTCCGGTGTGTTCTGCAATCTGAACTGTCCTCTCGACTGGCTTCCAAGTGTTCGATTGACGCCGTGCTGTCGATGCACTGAAACTCTTCACTCTGTCTGACAATTGTTGCAACTTCGACGCTATGCTCCGCCACACACTACTTACAAACAACTTTGTGAGTAGCGTCCACTGCATTGGTAACTGAGTGTCTAGAAGTCTACTAAAAATGGATACTAAACGGCAATCAGTTATGTATGGGAGGACGAGAAGCGATTTGTCACAGTTACTGAATGATTACCAATGACCAACAAGTGTATCAAGTTTGCGATTCATTTGAAACAAGGAGATCATAATATATAATACTGCTTTCTTTTCAATCATAGACCAACAACTCGACAATAGCTAAAATTAATTATATTCATAGTAGAAAGAATTAAAAGCACAATTTCATACGTGTTAGCGAATTCTAGCTAAATGGAATAATTGTTAACAGTGGATTGTAACGCCTAGTCAGTAAACTGTGTATTCGTACTCCTCCTATAATAAGCTTCATTTGACCTATTGGCTACTGCTATACGATTTACCATTCTCAACTTATTTCCAATTCATCAGTTACAGTATCCCACACTCACAGCCACTTTTGGCTTGATCTTTTATAATTATGATTCTCTATTTTATGGTGTGATACAGTCCGGTCTATTTGTATATAAACCAAGTATATCTGAAATATACGATCACTACAACAGAGGCTATTTGTGTTCTGTACTGAACGGCCCAGGCTAGTCAGTTAGCTACAACGTAGGACCAGGCACATATATGAATCGGTCCAGGTTGCCATACCGCATCAGCACAACAAGATGAACACCGGATTCATAGCAGTGGTTAGGTCAAAGGTGGTAATATATAAGAGAAAGATTGCATATAGAGATATAGTACAAGAAGAAAAAATTGGTTCGTAGAAAGAAAGATATGAAGTGATTTTAATCTCTTAGTTTAAGGGAAGATAGCGAGTGTATACACCGACGCCATTGTGATCGATTCTGAACCATGTCACCAAGAGTCTCCAACCATTGATTACGATAGTCACGCGGACCACAACCAAGTAGTTTTCATCTACCAACATGGCTCAGACTAGAAGTTAGTGACTTCAAGCACTGATGCCACGTTTTGGTTTGGCCGCCCCTAACTTTCTTCCAACAATTTCCAATACCGGATAGCATTGTACGTCGTGGTAATCGGTGTTCAGGCATACGCAACACGTGACCCAACCATCTCAGTCGATGAAGATTCACAACCTCATCGACTGTCTTACCATCTTTCCCTAATACCCTGCGTCTAACCTCACTAATACTTACCCGGTGATCCCAGCAGACGCCAGCAATATTTCTAAGGCATCTGTGGTCAAATACTAATAGCTTACGAGCGTCTTCTACTCTTAATGGCCATGTTTCGCTGCCGTAAATTAAAACAGAACGGACTGCCGCGCAGTATACTCGTCCTTTTATTGATAGACTGATACCTTGCCTTCACCACAGGTGACGTAAGTTGGCAAAAGCCAAACGAACCTTTCAAATCCGTGCTGAGGTTTCATCAGACACCAACCCATTAGGGCTGATCAGACTTCCAAGATAAGTGAAGTTGTCAACGCGTCCGACTACTTCACTCCCTATCCTTAGTTCAGGTGTTAACGCAGACCAGTCCTGAAGCAACAACTTGCATTTAGAGGGAGAGAAGCGCATTCCAAACATTCCGGCATTGTTGCTCAGTGCTACCAGAAGACTCTGCATTTTGTCAGCGTCTTCACCAAACAGGACTATGTCATCTGCGTATTCTAAGTCGATAAGTGGACCTCCTGGATGGAGATCAATACCCGAGAACTCAGTCAACGAGAAAGTTATTTCCATCAGCAGATCTATGATGAAGTTAAACAAAAATGGGGAAAGTGGACAGCCTTGACGGACACCACTTGAGGTTGCAAAAGTAGATGACAGTTCGCCATAAGCTAGGTGAGAGGTTGCTATACCAAGGACCAATAAGAACTCAGAGTTGACTCAAGGCTGCTGGCGCTGGTTAACGCATCATTGGTTTAGCACAAGGACAAGCGGATATTAGTCGATGTTCTGATAGGCAATTTTGTCACGTGATAATTGATAGGGCCATAAGTCATAATAAGTTAAGGTAAATTGATCAAAGACTAAGCGATATTTTATGATAATTCATGTATACAAATGAAAAATCTCAACAACAGAAATACAAATAGTGGATTTTACAACAACAATAAGAACATACCAGAAAGTTGAATCGCATATAATCTAACTGAAGATCGGATTCAGAAGGTTGTTTATTGATTGTATTGATATTAGTCAAATTTCGACAAGATTTCCTAAGATTTCTTACTGAAGAACATACACTGTGCAGCATACAAGAAGTTGATTTCCATTCCAAAGAATCAAATCTATGAAATATATAAAAATAAATCAATGATATATTTAATTTTATCAATTTATAAACATATATAAAGAAAACTATAAAGTGTTTAGGTTTGTCTTTATCATTTATGAACCCTATTAAGGATAAAATCTGATCAGAAATACATCATAAAAACAACGAACAGGATATATGAAAAATAAAGCTAATTGTAATATTGATATAATGATTATCATGAACATACATTCTTTGAAGCACTGTTTACATATCATAGAATCAACAAAATAGTTGTATTTACATTAGAGATAGAGTTTTTATCCATGAGAATAACTTAAAATAGTTGTAAAACTTTAGAAATCTATGTAGTTGAAATATATATGTACACTATACACTTCCACACAATATTAGTTCCTTAGAAAATGGATGTGAAAAAATAGTACGGAGTAGTTCGTACACACAACACAACGTCAGTTTTGGTACAAATCCAATGAATTTTTTGGTTTAAGACGTGTGTAATAACATATAAAGTTCTTCAAAATGATTTTTAGTTAATGCTGATAATAAATGGTTTTGAAAGTTCATGAAAAGGCTAAAATTTAAAAAAAAAACAATTATTTATTTTTATCTTCAAATTTGTCCTCAGGTCTTTGTTCAGATCTGTTACTATCGAAAATCCATTATATAACTTATGCAACTCACTATACAAATGTGGCTTACTGACCTTGATACATTTAGTTTTCAACTCAGAGGTTAGTAGTACTAGTGCAGTGAACAGAACACGGGTGGGAACAATCGAATGTATTTAACACAAGAATTACAGACTATCTCAATAAAATCTGAAAACCATATAATAAATAGTCAATTTGCAAAATATCAATGCATCATATCAAACTGGACTGTTCCTGTTGCAAACACCAATCCATTGTTCATGCGTTTTCTTACAAATTCCATTGTATTCTCGCTCTTCCTTTCTTGATTTTCCCCTCATCTTCTGCTGCCAGATATAACACTCCTGACTCGCGTCATATACTACTTATATTAATATAAGTAGCACACACCACACCTCATTTATGATACTTACGACAGAATAACAGAAAATGAGTATAAAATATTTTGAAAAAAAGAAGTTTGAAAACTAGTTGTTCGAGGTTTGCGTGATGATCGCGAACAGTGGCTAGAAATGTTAGGTGATATGACTGAAAACTGGTCTCGATGTTAGAGATGCATTCACATTTTGACTTCCGCCATATATTCAGTCCCAATATTCATTCATGCATAATGTTTTTATCCTATTTTTGTTCACACCATGTTCTTAATACTTTATCATTGTTGCAACATAATTTCAATTCTTTGGCTATTTATCTTGTTACTTTCATCTTGTCGAAGTAATGTGACATAGTTAATCGGTTCAACCCATACATATGCACTAGACTTTATGTTGATTATAACTAATGATTGACTGACTACCACAAATACATTTTTAAACTATGTGTGATATAAACAATGCTGATAACTTACTTATTAATGATCGATAAAACTTTAACTAGATCACCCAAACAAGGACAGTTGAAAAGTGATTGAGGTGTAACAACATGATATGCTTGATTTGACTGGTTTCTTGTTACCAACAATTTTGATGAAGATGATGATTGTAAAGGTAATGTCAATTGATCACACCTATATTCCCAAAGAATATTTAACATTTGAGCCCACCAGTGAGCACATGAAACTTGATCACTAGTTTCTTCTATAAAGAGAGAAAACATTTGTGTAGAAAAAATGTTAACAAGAAGTATGTATTAAAAACTTTCAGTGTACATTTGAACTGTTAGTGAATAAAAAGAGGAGATTAGTTAAACCTACAAAGATAGGAAAGATTTGCAGCTCAAGTGGATAATTTCGGTGGATGGTTCTCTAACCATCCAACTCAGAGAAAAAAACAACTAAATATTTGGCTGGTTCATATCAACACCAATGCTTTTGTATAGGAGGTTAATACAACAGTAAAAACCAATCAATTTTTTAATGTTTGTATTTCATATTTACATATAGCTAAACTGCTTTTGTGGATTAATGCAATAATTTGAAAATGGTTTTCACTATGAAAACTAACAAGGGCCAATCGACTGATGTTTTAGCCTGGATCAAGATTATTTTTAAAAATTTAGTAATAACAATGAACCTCATAGTGATTACTTGAAAGAATTTTACAACGTTGCAGTAAAAAGCAGCATCATGAGATGTGAACTATACTGAAGGAAAGAAACATGTAAATGAAGTTGGATGAAAATAACAAAATATCACAAATTGACTGAATTTAAAAACATGCTGGGTCCCGGACTTCGTAGTTTTAGGAAGTGTTATAGGCACAAACACATGAGTTCTCTGTTTACATATATTTAGTGTTGTGAAGTAGGCTAATTACTAAACGTTCTCTTATAACTCGCATAACTCCACCTGTACATCTTCTAAGGCTACTACCGGTTCGGGAGAGATGTTGCTGTACTCCGGCCACGAAGAGGAAAATGTGCCACACACTCAGGGAGCTGCTCTGATGCTGCCCAAACAAACACGAAATGCACTTATATTATGGGAATCCCATGGATCCAGGATTATCAAAGCATCATTCAAAACAAAGAAGGAGAGAATCATGATGAATGTTATCCAATATTATGCACCCACCAATGACAACAATGAAGATCATTTCTATGGGAGGATGCAATCAATCATAGCGAAATGCCCAGGAAAAGACCTGACCATCCTGATGAGAGACCTAAACGCCAAAGTCAGAATGAACAAAACTGGATATGAAGATATCATGGACGACGTGGAAAGACTGTGAGAGAGAGAAACGAAAACGGTGAGAGATTTGCAAACCTATGTGCATTCAACAAGTTGGTTATAGGCGGCACAACATTTCCACACGAACGCATACACAAAGCTACATGAATCTCACCGGACGACACCAGGGAAAACCAGATAGATCATATTTATATCAGTAAAGAATTCAGGAGGTCAATGGAAGACGTGAGAACTAGGAGAGGAGCTGACATAGGTTCAGATCACCGCCTAATCGTAGCCAAGATGGAACTGAAGCCAGGAAAACACTGGACAACTAGACAAACAGCATCACAAAAGTTTAATACAACTCTCCTTCGACATACTGATAAACTCAACGAATTCAAGATAACTCTCAGAACCGGACACTGTATAACAGAACAAAGTGTTTTTGATTCAAAGTATTATGTTGTGAACATTGAAGTACATGTTAGCTGTTAGTGCTTCTATTTAGTTGACGTCAGTTCATGACGAAAACTGCCTATGAGTTTGTTCAATTTGTTTATGTATCCATGTGCAGCATGGTTAACACTCGTTTAGTTCTTATCATTACCAAACCAGTCCACATCAGCTAATATATTAACAAATCTCTAAGTCATAAGTGTGATTCATTTATCACATATTATTACTATTCTTATCTTTGGATAACTATTCTTATCATTAATTCTGTATTCATATTTAGCTTACAAACTATTAAATCTAAGTTAAATTTTATCTTACAATGTAACATTATGTAGAATTCCGTTGTTGAAACTCAGAATTGACATTTATAATACTCTACTTCTAACAAGTCTCATAAGGGATGCAATACGTGTTTTGAATTCATTTGTTAGTCATGATATAAAATGCGGTTAATGAGTTATTGTAGCAACCCTCAAGAATAAAGGCGGAAACGTGGTTTCCGAGTTAAGGCTTTTGACCTGTAATTCCAAAGAATCAGGTTCGAGCCCCGCTCCACTCACTTCGCTTTGGGAAATCGGGTAGTATCATTGGCTCTTACGCTTAGAATGTGACCCGAAAGTAATACCACAAATCTGTATTTCATAACGAGATAATAATAATATATCATAAAATACTACTAATAATAACTAGTGGCAAGATAAATACAAAAATAGTGTGATTCTAACGTTCATAGTTGATCATAACCATTTTGTTTCTTTGTTGGCTAGAATAACAAACTATTAAATGGAAGATGTATCATAATAAAGAATGTACAAATTACTGAATATAATAACTGTGATAATGTTATATAAAATTATTAATAATAAGATACGACAATAATAAAAATAATATGAAAGATTATAGTGTTATAAGAAGTGAGTAGATAATAAAATGTAAATGTTGCATATATAAATATACGAATGAACTAACCATATTCAATTTCACTAGTTCTGTAGTTATTCATATTACTATTGTATACATTTAATGAAGGTGATAATTGCGACAGTAGATGAATGTATGACTGTAAACTTTTCACCTGATCAACTTTACCATACAATATAACCTACAAGTAGAAAATAAACGATGAGAACATAAACCATAGAGCTAAAAACTTTAAGTATGTCTTATTGTGTGATGATACCTAAGCCAAGCAACCGGAACTAAATTAGTTGGCAATCAACGTTTTATACTTTTTAAGTCCAAAGTACTTTTGCAAAACTGTCCATGTACTTATTCTTGGTAGTGAGCAGATAGAAGTAATAGAGAAATTTGAGTATCTGGGTAGCTATGTAAGTGCTGGTGGTAGCGTGAACGATAAGATAGATTCACGAATAGTGAAAGCCAGAGCGACTTATGATATTCCGGGCCATCTCTGGCGCCTTTCATGATGTTAGTCTAGCTGTAAAAGGTCAGATCTACAACGCACCGGTGGCAGAAGTCTTGCACTGTGATTGAGAAACCTGACCTCTTTGAGTCGGTGATGTTAAGCAACTCAATCTCCGAAGGACTGAAAACATTCAATGCCAATGTGGTGGGCGCTATCCACAAGATTGCCTGTAAGTAGTATGTTGCGGAACGTGGCCTCGAAGTTGTCACAGTAGTCAGACGGAGTGAAGAGTTTCAGTACATCGGAAGCACGGCGTAACATTTAGATCTAAATCACCCAGCATCTTCAAACATTGGTAGTTTGCACCACTAAAAAAAGTTCATTCCAACAATCATTGCTTTTGCTCGACTACCTTTTGGCTTTCTTCCAAACTTCTCCTTCTCCAGTACATACAAAGCGTCGAGGTGAGTAGTTATCGGACATTAGTGATATATCACACAACCAACTTATTCGATGAGGGTACAATAACTTAATGAAGTCAGTGTGTAAAACAAACTAATAGTTAAATCTCTACTAATCTGTTATCATAAACTAATCAATTATAACATCAGATTATCATTAAATTTCAAACACAAGTCAAATTCCACCATCTAAAAGTGTGTATATTATAATATAGAGTTCAGTGTGAATTTCTGGAACGCACCAATTGTTTTATGAAGACACGAATTCGAAAGCGAGAAAATCAAAGTTTAGAGATAATCGATGTTGACGAAGACAGATTCATATTTGTTATTCATTTAGATGAACTGATTGTTGTGAAATAACAAAGATAGAAAACTCTTTCATTTTGAATGTTTACTTAATTTGAGATTAAAAATTGTAGTAAATCTTAAATATGTGAGAGAGATATAAAGACGAAGTCACGACGTAATGTCTTATGTTTGATATTGTTTGAGTAATTAAACATTAGGAGTCAGAATATACAATGTGGATGAACAGGTTGTACAAGTGTTTAAAAATAGTGAAGAATATGTCGTTAATCTACCAAATACTTGACAGACAAGAGTTACCAAATCCAGATGGGGGGTCCAAGTGAGTCAGTTAACCGCAACGTTGTGTGAAGCCGAAAATCAATTAATTACGTGCTTAAATTTTAGTCAGTCTAACTCAGGGTTGAAGATTCAGTCATTCGCAACGTAGAACGTGGTACGTATGTTCATCGGTTGTCATGTCTCATTGGGACGGAGGAATGAAACTGTCAGGTCAAATACCAGAATGCGGAGGCAGTAACAGTTTACCCTTAGCGATTACATGCACAGTGACAAACAATCCACAAGTACATACAGTATGAGTGATATCAAACGTTTATCCAGCAGAAGCTAATGGTACTTTATGATGTGCTATTGCATTTATAACCAGAGCAGTATATTAGTATTTAAAGCACTCGACTTTTAATTAACAGGTTGTATGTTTAAAATCTCCCACACTTGTTAGATGATAAATGACAAGTGTTTAAAACACTGACCTGAAACTCTAAAAAACTTAAAACATACAGCTTTATGAGTAAATAAGATTCACTCTCAAAAGGAATTCCTCCACTTAAGCCCTTATGATATACAGTGACAATTTGGATATAACAGTTGTGTTTAAGTATGAGATATTAATATGGTTTCAATAGCTATGTGATAGCATAGCTGGATACGACACTAAGTGATCTAGATTTAGGTTTTGTGAAAAAGAATGCTTTTTTAAAGTCAAAGATATATTAATGGTGATGAAGGATAGTAACTAAAAGGACTCGACAACGATATAACCTGGTGAATTCTTTCCGATCTTTCAAGCGAATGAACGTTAGGTGGTAACAACATAAATGAACTGAATAATAATAATAATAATAATAATAATAATAATAATAATAATAATAATAATAATAATAATAATAAATGAATACCTTTAAACAATGACAAGTAATATGCTCGCGTAATTCAATCAATATTTGATTAATAATGTTCTTTTCTGTATAATTCGCTAGTGACATATTTTTGTTGGATGAATGGTCATGTAAACCAACCGCCTTTGTAGAAGATCTGGTCAATGATGATGATGAATAAGTTGTATTGATACCTATAGCGCATGAATTCAACTTTTGATTTGAAATAATTAATTCGATAAATGTTGAATTATTGAACCAATTTATCCATAACTTCGACAAACGAAATCGGAGAGTCACATGAACTGTCATACGAATGATCAGAGACTATTTAGTGCACGATTAAGAAGATAGTGGCGCCATATTTACAACAAGAAAGTAGGGATGAGAGATTAAATACATCATATTAAGTAATTGAAAAAATTTTCTAAAAAATATTAAGTCAATATCACGTGTGGAGTTATAAATGTATCATTCACAATCTTTGTGTAACCATCGTCTTCTTAAAGGCTCCAGGAGATGTGGTAACCATTTTGCTCTAGAGTGATAATATGTCACCGAGACAAAAAAAGACTGAAATGATTATAATAAAATAACTGATTGAATTCCTCACACGAATGAGGAAGAGCCATGGATTACAATACCAGGAAAACATGAATTGCCTGAAGTACGCAAAACAAGATTACTTCTTTGCCCAAATTTAGACGTGTCTAGATCCTCTTATTACTCCAATAGCAACATAGTTAGCAGATCTTCTGGAGCCAGTGAGAAAATTATTAACAAATAAGTAGTTCATTTAGCAAATTAATGTGGATATTTACTAGATAAACTGTAGTATACAGTTAACTAAAATTTATTACACACTATGGACTCATATAAAACGTCATAGATTTAGTGGATAAAACTGATGGAGAAAGGAAGTGAAACTAGCCCATTCATCTGAATACAAACAGAATATGAGACATTAGTACTGACAAGCGATAAGGAAATTTTTTAAATAATATTATACCATCTGAAAGCGCTATTCAGATTTTAGTTAAAAGTTCTAGTTCTCATTAGCCAATGACTGAAATGTAAGTTTTGTATACTGACACTAGAATCTGTTATGTCTTGTCAACTGAACGCTACTTGTTATATCTGATTATCACGTATACTCGAAACGAGGGACCACTGCAATTCCCACGACGCGGAAGTAAGAATACAAAGACTGGTATAAGTGAAAATTTATTAACCACCAAAACACGACGACGACATATCTTTTTACAGCAGGATTCTTTATGTCCTTTACGTTGATATTTAGTACAACGGTAGCTTTTATATGGACAAAACTTCTTGTAGTGCCACTAACTTCATAACCAGCACGAGGATGGGAACTGACTGTTTGAACTGTTTTGTTTGCGTAAAAGAGAATCTTTCTGGCCATTTATTACCCATACGTATGGTGGCCAGACACTGTTTCCAACCATAGAAGTGTCACGTTTTAAGTTTACCAACCTCTGACACTCACTAGTCACTTCTTGTAGCGTTATATATGGATACTGTCCAATTTTACTCAGAATTCTGGTTCTGGTGTCAGCATCTTCAGGTGACTGCAAGCTGCATACAAAAGTAATACACTTAAACTGGTCTTGTCATTGCTGATAATTTGAAACGCTCACACTCGCGATTTACTGTGCCAGCATGTTGCATCCAGTCATCGTCTCCAGCTTTAGCCAACTTCAGACACTGGCAGCGAATATTGAACAAAGATGACTGTTCAGCAAAAATTTGCGAAAAAGTTACAACCGTTGCATCAAATGAAAGGTCTCTGAGATCCTTGGGGAGAATGAAGTTGGTGTAGTGTTCACGTTCAGCTGTGCCAAGTTTGCGTAGCAATACTCTGACCTTTGCGATATCAAATTTTTCTAGGCTGACGTTGAATATATCTTTGCATTTCTTGAACCACGATTCAAATGTAACACCGGCCAAACCATAAAAATGAAATTCATAGATAGAATTAATAAAGTGGTCGACATGGGATTTGAACGGATCATCTGTAAGCCCCTTTTGATTTAGGTTCATTTGCTGAGTTAGAGCTTCTAAAATACGAATCTGGAACTGTTCGTAACCCTTTTCTTGACGCTCCAGCAAGGCCTCAAGTTGGTCAAAGGTAAAGGACATCTTGATAAGTTAACCTCGTCGCCAGTTGTTATATCTAGAGCTTAGTTTCTTATTATACCGCGTACAACTAGAGCACTCGAACGCTAGAGCCCTCCAAGTTGCAAATGAGAAGACAAGTGGAAGAAATGCTATTCCAGTGTCATTTATGGTCAATCAGTCAGTAACAATGTAGAACTTCGTACGTACGTACATCAGTTCGAGTTGCCATACCACATTAACACACAAATACAATTGTCGATTCAAATCCCATAGTGGTAGAGGTAATAAGAGTATAAGCAGTAATCGGAAAGAATAGGGTTTGAAGATGTTATTCGAGTATAATACAGTGAAATAAATTTGGAAAGAGAAAAAAAGGGACATGAAGGATTCAGAAGATTAGAATTTGAGAGAACACAAAGAGTGGATTCACCTGCGCCATTGCAAACGATTTTGAGCCATGTCATTCAAGGTCTCTAACCATCGGTTGCTATCATCTCGCGATTCCAACCAGGTAGTTTATACTTACTAACATGGCTCAGTCCACTTGTCAGTGACTTCATGGATCTGTGCCATGTTTTGGTCTGGCTGCCCCTAGCTTTCTTCCAACCTATGGTATGGTATGGTACAAAACCGTCAAATATTTATAGTTTTTAATAAAAACGAAATCACCATTATAGTTCTCCAATCCGCATAATGGGGGTTGTTAACGTTTGTTTACTAGGGAAACTATACGCAGGAATTCTGGAATGTTCTACCAAAAGATGATTGGATGGAATATTTACGGCTCTTTCTGAGCTTCCTCGAGTTCACCCGCGGACCGTCCTCACAGAATCAAATTAAGAAAACTTATGGAACGAATAAAGATATAACTAAAATGACTAAATAAAAAATATATTTAAACAATAATACGCAAGTTAGAGATAAGAACGTCGACAGAGGAAAGAAGGGTGATTTGTAAAGTAATCATTGGTTTTATAAATCATCTTGCCTCCTTTCAACTAAATCTTAATGCAAACCGACTTACTCTAGTTCTCATGTCATTTCTAATTTCGCATCACGTTTGAGAATGGTCATATACTATCAACTAGTCTGATCATTCAAAGTTAACATTCATTATTCTAGTGAATAATATGTAAGAATTCACTATCGTCTAATAACTGTATGTGATAAATTTAACAGGAGAAAAAAACTGATTACATATTAAACGATCAAAAAATTAATAAAATGTAATATTTCATTTACACCAAGATAATACATTCCAAGTTTTCGTTTTAGAAAGAGTCCAAGTGTTACACCTTGTCTAGGTAAAAGATTGATAGGCAATTTGTTATCAACAGCTGATGATATTCCTATATTTTGATTACTTTCATGTAACTTGTCGTTGGTACAATATATTTGTTGAGTAGATAGAGAATGAAGAAAATCGTGAATACACATCACAGCTAGAGAGATACTATCCAGTAAACGGTTGAACTTAAAAAGCATAGAATTGTTTGTATTTGCTCTTTTCGGCACATAGTCTATGATAGAAAGAAACAAGAAAAGGCAAAATAAGAACCAAAAAAACTTTTATAAAGAATACGAATTATATTATTATTCTCGCTTTTCTCTTTGTTCTTGACAAAAAACTAAACAGTATCAGACAATGTAATTTAAAGAATGGAAAAAGAAACTTACGACTTTATTTAACCAACTGTATATGTAATTAATTAAACAAAATTAAGTCCTACGGAACCATTAATTATCAAAATATTAACCGATTATTAAAAATATTATAATAAAAAAGACATATTTGTGTAAAGAGACTAAAAAGAAAGAATATGGATGACAAAAACGTTAAGATATAAAAGTGACTCTTTGATGTCTTTTATTTCTATGAATTTTCATTCATATCTTTAACTTTGTAGGACTACCTATACTACTTAGTAATTTGTCAGGATAAACAAACAGCTAATTAGTGAAGGCGTTTGAACTTGTTTTTAGCATGAACTCCATAATAATGAGTGACTTATCTTTGAACTACACACTACTAGTATAAAAAGTGGTTTTATGAAGAAATGAAAAAAAAACACCATACTTACACATAACAAGATGATAAACGGGATATCACAAAAACTGGTTACGTTTAATTTGAATCATATCTTCCGTGTCTAATATATTTCTGTATTATCACTGATACTACCGCTTCTATAGTCTCTGAGTTAATTTAGCTGTGCTGATGAGATGTGGTAGCTTGGAACGACACACACACGTGATAGATTCTGTGTCACTTTTAATTGACTTATTAGCTCATTAAAGACAGTTAACATTAATTCAACGCAGAACTAGTTTGGGAATAATTTATATAATAATAATAATAATAATAATAATAATTATTATTATTATTATTATTATTATTATTATTATTATTATTAGAAGGCAAAGCTAATCTTCCAGTAGATGAACTCGGAAGTACTCAATGATTAAAAAGAATGATGCAAACCAACAAAAGACGTAATTCGTACAATTGCATTTGATATTTTTCCTCTTAGAAGTTAAGATACAAAGTTGTTAAAAAAATCCAATAATGCAAAGAGTTCAATGTTTCTGAAAAACAGGTAAATTCGCGTTATGACTATGGACTGTAATTTACTAATTCTCAACACGCTAATTAAAGATGAAATCAATAAACCCTAGCAATTCAGAGAGAAAATCAATCGTAAAGAACCAGCTAACTAACCAAATAAGTATAACTCCATTAGGCGTAGACGAACTTCAGCTGCAGAGATGATACTCTTTTCATTACAGTATGAATGACCACTGTTTATTATCGGATTAGGTTGATCTACCTTCTTTTTAAAAGAACACATCCAAAGCCAACAGGGCAATTCGATTAAAATTATACTAAGCAAGTTGATTCCGAATTTAATTAGAAACCATATACATAAATAAATATATCGAGGAAAAGAAACCGTTGATTCAGATTGAGTCAATTCGCAATGTGTACTGCCAAGTGAATGTAAGCATTGCCTCAAGTGATAATCAGCAACAGACCAAGTCAGCTATAATTAATGAGAATAAAAATAGGTTAGTAAGGATGATAATAATAATAATATGCTACATACTTTCTAAACCGTTACCCATCAACAAATCTAAACTGAGTTTGAAGTTAATGGACATAAACGAAAATGAATTATTGTACATAAAGTAGGTGAGGGTAAAAGGGAGTCGTTAGGTTATCTTGTTTTTTAGTCAACATCTGTTAATTTTTTAGAGTGGGGAAAACCGTAATAACTGTTTATTGGTTCATTTGATTATTTAATTTCTATACTAGTCTGCTAATATTACTGTGTCCCGAGGTTATATTTTGTTACATATAGTTTTTTCTCCTTCAAATTTCAAGCTTTCATTATCCTCTGACTTCTGCCTTCCTTTTATCGTGTTTAAGATTAATTTTGAAGTGTTGGGCGTCTGTCACACGATCTATCGACTTTATGCATATTTAGTCCTGCATTGAAAGAATGCTCTAATCGTTTTTAAAAAGGAATTAACCCAAACTAACTGTAGTCGCAGTAGCCGAGCGGTCTAAGAGTGTTTTTCTGTGTGTTCTGGTTCACTATGTGGGCGTGGGTTCGAATCCCACCCCCGATACATACTTAAGCCCCCAGATGCTCTGGTACGACCGAGGGTGGAGATAGTCAGCTCTCCCTCTCGAAATGCTCTCACATGGCCACGCGTATACAGTCACTATCAGGGGAGTCCTATTCACAGCCTTATCGCAGCAGCGCTGTTATTTACGAAGTTGAGAGGATGAAAAGCGAATGTCCGGCGCTTTAGCCGAGTTGGAAGACACGGAGAGTCCACCTAGGGGAGTTGGAAAACTTCGATTACAAACTAGTGGTGCACATTGGCTCCAAGATCCTGAACGAACAAATGGTGTGCGAACCAATCGTTGCTCACTGGATACCATGAGACTGAATCTCCTGATGTTGCTCCACTGGATTGTGGATCAGACCTTTAAAACCAAGGCTCCGGGTGTGGCCCCATAAGGAAACTATCTGTTTCGGTCTGGGTATCCAGACAGTATAACAGCTCACACAAAAATCAAGTGACTTGTGTGGCGCATATATATTTGGTACCCCTTTTTACTAATATTTATATGTTCAAATCAATAATAAATGGATAAATTATAAGACCAATAAATTTTGAGAGCAGTTTATGGATTTGTAACAAATTAAAACAGAGGAATTCGAAGAGGTTAACAAAGAAATTAGCGCTTTTCATCACTTAACTATTTTTCTGGATTAATGATATCTGTTTTAACCAGCAGATGAGTAACTAGAATATTCGGTTTTCAAAGAGTAAGTCACGTCTTTCGACCACATTTAATCAATTTCAGTTTACGCTACCTCTCACACATAAATGGACAAAGAGCATTATGAAGATTCAATACAACCTTCCTTCGATATACTAACAAACTCAACGAATTCAAGAGAACTCTGAACAGGTTCCAAGCCTTACAGGATCTACTGAAAGAAGAAACCACTATGGAGGACAACTAGAAAGGGATCAACGAAGCAATAACTTCAAGGTGTCAGATGTTGGACCGCAAGTAGCGTCATCATAAAGAATGGGTTTCTATGGAAACCCTGAGCAAGATTCAAGAAAGGAAGAAGAGAACAATTAACAACAGCTGAACAAGAGCCAAGTCAAGGCACAAGCTAAACACACAGAAGCAAACAAGTGAAGAACATTAGAGCTGACAAGTAGGAATACGTGGAAGATAAACGACACCAACCCAATCACACTTGATGGAGAAACTCTGGAAGAGGTGGAAAGTTTCATGTATCTAGGTAGCATCTCCGATGAACGTGGAGGGTCTGAATAAGACGTAAAGGCGAGGAATGGCAAAGCAAGGACAGCATTCCTACAGTCGAACAACATATGGAACTCAGAACAACTGTCAGTCAATATAAAAGTCAGAATCTTCAATAAGAATGTCAAGACAGTCCTACTGTACGAAGCTGAAACGTGGAGAACTACTACTACAACTATCATCATAAAAGTACAAGTATTCCTAAACAATTGTCTACATAAAACACTCAATGTACATTGATTGGGTACCATAAGCAATAACCTGCTATGGGAGGGAACAAACCAGCTTTCAATTGAAGAAGGAATTAAGAAAAGACGTTGGAATTGGATATGACATACATTGAAGAAATAATCAAATTGCATCACGAGACATGCGCTAACCTGTAATCCTGAAGGGAAACGAAAAAGAGGAAGAACAAAGAACACACTACGTCGAGAATTGGAGGCAGACATGGAAAGGATGAATAGCAACTGGAAAGAATTGTCTAGGATAGGGTTGAATGGGGAATGCTGGCGAGTGGCCTATGCTCCTCAATGAGGGGTAACAGGAGTAAGTAAGCACATAAACCAGTATTTAGTAAATGGGATGCAATGAGACTGAGCAACAGAAATAATCTTTAGAAATACTCAAAAGTTGAATACTATTATTGGCGACGACGGTAGAAATAGGTTTTAGAACAGAACATTTCCAGATACACTATCAGTTTGATACTCTGACCAGTAGATCTAAGATATAATATGCATGAATATTCACTTACAAGACTAGTTTTATGTGTCTTAAGAAAGCTATTTATTGGTGGATTTTTCATAATACATCTTAAAAATAAGTTTAAACACCACGCAACTTTAGGGACAGAAAAAAACAACTTCAGTTTTCAGTTATACAAAAGCAATCCATAAGTAAAGTTTACTTATGACTGACTAGTAAGACTAGCAGAATATAAAAATACGGTTGGGATAAATGAGAGTTATTCGACGCAACATCAGTGCATGAAGCCATTCATTATAGGTCTTAGCCATGTTAGCAGTAGGTGCACACTAATTCACAGAAGTCCTCTCGACAACGATGATCAGTATTTGGAGATGTTGGGTGGTATTGACTGAAAATCGGTCGTAATTGTGCAAATGCATTTACTAACTTCTTCAAGACAATAAGTGCCAGTATTATTTCATACATCACATATAATCTTATCGTTTTGAACCATATTCTAAATGTTTAGACTTCTTCATTATTTTGATTCTTTTTCTATCTATCTTGCTAACTTCATCTCTTTGTGCGGATGTGGTTTGGGAACTTGAATTAATCCACATATGTGCCAAGCTCCACGTAGATTACGACTAACAGAGTCAAAGAATAGCTAACTCTGCAGAAATGCAGAACAGAAATTGAAGTCTTAGGTGTAGACTGCTGGATTTTAACTCAGTGGTCTAAAGTTAACGTAATCATTGTAAAACATGAAAAAACTGGTTTTGATCAGTGATCAGTCTCAAAACCAAAACGAAACAACTATCAAATGTTTGTTTATTTGCGATGGTCTAACTAGAAATCCTACTGTAAAATCCATTTCCCATGTCATGTGATAAACATTACACTTAATGAATGAACAGATAAGGCTTAATGTAGTAGATAAAAGATGATAGTACAACATCCGCCACACATATACAAAAATAAAAGGTATAATTGCCAAACACTAAACCTTAGTATTCGGTCTATCTGTTATAGAAAATAACTGGAGTTCAAAATCCATAAATTATTGAATCTCAACTCAGTGATTTGAAGGTTAAAGGACCATTCTGAGACCCGTACGTCCCATGTTTGATCCCCGGTAGGGTTTTGGATGTGTACTACTGAGGAATTCCATACTAGAAAAAAGTAACTGTCTAGTAATTCTTAATTCTCAATGGTCAGTTCATGACATAAACCATAAGAACTTGATTGTATAAAGTTGTGCTTGAGTAGGGCTGGTATACTGAACTGAATTATTTTCATTATATTATACGTCAAACGACATAAATTCAACAAAATGAAACAAGATACAGATAAATTTACTCTCAAATAAATAAAAACATTAATTCTCATGATAACTATTAGGTTATGTCAATTAATCCATGTGTATGTAATCAATGTGCTCAAATAGATAATTGAATCAATATGAAAAGTATTTTACCTGACTAATAGCTAAATTAGCTTGTCTAAAATGTGATTTAACCTCATACGATGAGATTACAGTATTTTTTGACTTTGACCAATAATAACTATAATTAAAAAGATGGACATGTATGTGCTTTTTATAACAAGCCCATGAACATAATAATAAAGCAATACACCATTGTAAAATATACATTATTGATATAAGCCATGAACTAGGGATAATTGTTGCGACTATGTTCTCGCTTTTGGAAGTTGTGCTGGTAGACGCATCGAAATACGAGAGCAAAGTTCTAGCATTTGATATTTTATTGTCTACGAAGAAAATAACAATGAAATAACAATAAATATATATATAGTAATACTTCAATTGTTTAACAATAGACGAATGAATTAAAAGTGTAAATATTTTCAAAAGTTATTGTGTCTGATGAATCTTCCTAATGTGCATTGATTAGACGATTGGTTTACTGATATCTAACTTTTTAATGTCTGAATTCTAATTATCTGACTGACCAAATGTTGTACATAACGTTTGTCATTTATTACCTGTAACAAATTGATCATAAACCAGTTACTTAAATTCGTACCATAAATATATATATATATATATATATATATTTATACAAATTTATTATTTCTAGTGTACTATGGTCATGTATAGTAAGTACAACCACATGAGCTTTGATATTTAAATATTATAAAATAATCAAAGGCGTTCGGCTATTCTTCTAATTTATAGTTTGGGTACGAGTGATAGAGCTCACTTGGCTTCTGCCAACTTTAGTCACTTGTAGCGTAGGCAAGTCTATCTGCCAAACAAAAGGCGAGTGAACGGATTAGTACTTTGCTCCATGTTATTTTATCGTTATGAAGAAAAGGTCTTTAAAAATAGGGGATATTCTTAAGCTACTAGTATTTAATTTAATAAATATCTTGGAAGCACTACTTGCATATATTGGGCGCAATAAGTGAGCACAACGTTGAAGTTAGATGCAACGTACTCAACAAAAATAAAAAATCTGAAATGATATGAGAAGTTTTCGGTTTGTCCTATCGAGTCGTATCATCAAATGTTACAACTTAAGTGTAGCTTAGATCAAAATTTACAAGTACATGTACTTTGATTATTGAGTTGCATTATCATCTGAGATAAATACCATTTAGCTAAAGTTGATGCAGTATCTCAAAACGTCATCTCATTTGAATTATACAGTATTACCGAAACCATTTGTATATCAAAGTATTTTACAAAACAAAAGTTATAGTAATTTATAAATTAATCCAAGATATTCTGAAGAAAGTCAGAAATGAAAACAGAACTGAATAATAAAACAACATTCGAGTTCCAGTATGAACATCAACTCTAGGATGTAGGTACATCCAGCTGACGAGTCCAAGGTAAGACGAAACGGGTGTCCTGAATTCCACTCCTAACCACCATCCACCTATATTCATAAAATAACATTAGTTAAGAAAAGGTTTAGTAATATTTAATGAATTTACCTCTTGTACTAGTACCACCAGTATTCATATATGCTTGATTAGTTATTTGTGCTGGATTGAAAGCAATAAGGCATAAAGCAGCAACGCATAGAGTAGTTCGGGCTATCACTTCATTATAACCACCACCAATTGGATGATTTTGTTGATTTACAATAGCATTTGGCATATTAGCTTTTGTTAAGACAGGTGTATGTGAACATGAATTTGTTTCACATAATAACTGACATACAGTAGGGAACTGTGCCTGTATAGTATTATTTCGATTACCACTACCATTATTATTATTATTATTATTATTATTATTATAAATGTTATTTGTTGAAATTAAGTTGAATTTCTCTTTTACATGTGGGACAGCTAGTTTTTTTACTTCCAAGTCATGATTAACTAGCAAATGGCCACATCTTGCCTTGGTCGGAGTAAACGATGCTCCTCGTCCTCCAACACCATTAGAATCATCGGCTGAAAGTAGAAGATAAAAGCAGTATATATATATATATATATATATATATATATATATATATATATATATATATATATATATATATATATATATATAACAGAGAAATGGGTGTAAAATGAATACCACCACGTGACATTTGGTTACCAAGTTGTAATGAGTTTATTTACACTTAACAAATAAACTATTTCAATAAACATATACAAATATGATTCCATAATAAAATCACGCCAGACAGTGACCAAATTTAATATGTACATGTATATAATATAAACAAAACAAAACAACATAGAAAGTTAAGAAGATATTTTGGTTAGTCAATAAATGACCTAATTTCTAACTTAAGGTCGAAAGAATATGAATCGTTAAGAAAGAAAAATAAATATTTAACATTTATGCATAAATTCAGTGTTAACAAAATAAAATGATCTGAAGTAAACAACATTTTTTCCAACATCAATATGATATTAATACTTGTCTAAATGTTTAGAGTGGAAATGTGAGAGATAAATAACAATCTGGTTTTTGCAATCGACAGATATTCTATTCCATTTAGATGTCACGATTTATACAAATTGATATTCGGTACATTTGCATTAGCTTAGAAGACATTTTATTTACTGTACTCACTTTTCAAATTTGTAGTATTTACAAGGATCTGAAAGCAATTATTAAACAGTGTGAGTATAGGGTTCAACTTTACAGAAACGTAACAATCGATATTTAAAGAAATGAAGTTCTTAAAGTTTCCGAGTGATCAAATTCAGATAAATAAAATGTCTACGGATAATAAGAACAATATTATCAAATCTAGCCGAATATACGCACAACAAACTGGGCAAATCCAATCAGTCTTATTATGTCTCAAGATTGGATGGTAAGTGGAAGGCAACCATGAAATTGTCGTAATTGAATTAGCTAACTGGTCAAGTCCCTATCCGTTTAGCTATGATAACATATAAGCTATAAGCTTTCTCATTCGGTATCCTAATACGGCATTCTACACAATCTTATTTCTTTCCTCTATCTATCTGAGTTAATTAAGAGTTCGGAAAATGTGCAGTATTTGAAAAGGACTTTAGATCATAACAATTTAATGCCAAATATTGCCAAAAATGTTTAACGAACTTCTGTATAACCCCATGTCAGTACCGCTGGGTAGGGTCTATTAAAAAAATCAAATCAAATAGATAATTATATTACTCAAACTGTTTTGAAGAACTCAATCAACCACTAAACTGTTCGTACAAATGAAAGGCATTGATGAATATTATATATATATATATATATATATATATATATATATATATATATATATATATATATATATATATATATATATATATATATACTTAACTAATTTGTCTTGATGTTAAGCGAATACAGAAGTTCACATTAACAGTGCTCTGTATAAAAAGGATCATCAAGTATATATCATACAAATTAATGACCACCTTCAGGTATGGAGCTACGGTTTATACACTCATCTTGTAATTCTGAATAGAAATTTCTAGCTTACTGAACTCCATTAAAGTTTATCATATGAAACGTAAAATAGTTGCTGGGTTGGTTAAATGTTAATGTTTTTAGGTATTGTTTACAGACTATATATATTCCCTTCAACCAGCAGTTAACTTGTATTTACTAAGATTTAAGCTAGTTGACACGAATCAGTTTCGTGATAAGCATAGAAGACTGATGATAAATAATCATTCTTTGTTTTATGTTTAATTAATGTTTACTAAGAATACTACAAAAACACCCCACACTACTAATATGGTATACGACTGAAAAATATTAGTTAAATATTGAGATAAATTTGTTTGTGTGGGTACATGGCCTAATTAGCTGAATAGTTCAAGCTAGTGTAATTTATAAAAATACCAGAGGAACAGTATGTGAAGAGAACATAAAAACAAGGCGAAGAATATAAGTTGATAGAGAAGAAACATATAGAGGAAGAAGAATAGATAAATTTAAGCCATAAACAACCAAGATTTGGTTATCTATTCTGTGAGGAAGTGGCTTGCACTGAGTCACGAAGCGTCATAAAATTTAATTTTTCTACTCATTGGGATATTACAAATATATTATTTTTAATTAAAACAATCTACCCAATGCTCGATTTAGTTGAAATTATCAAGTCAAACCATAGTGATGATACCTATGGCACAGAATTGTTCGCAATGGCGCCGGTAATTTCACCCTTTAGCTTCTTTTAGAACCTCAGTACCGAGTTCTCTTCATACCCTTTATTTCTTTTTCTATATTCAAATTTTTCGATTACTACTCTGAGATTTATCTTAAAATAATTTTATTTCCCTGTGCTAGTGTGGTAATGGCAACTTAAACAGGTTATAAGTGACTGATCGATGTCTTATTCTGACCATATCTACAGGACTATTTCCCAACTTATTTCAGATGAAATTAGAAACTAACAATGGTGATGATAGATATACATAAACGTAATACATAGGTTAGCCACGTCAATCATTGAAAACTGAAAAATTTGTTGATCTAATTATGTCTTCATTTGCGAAGTATACGTTTTATCCCACAGCTGAACATGTGCATCCATATTTACTCAATTTATTTTCACACTATGATCACAAAACAAGATACAAATGATGATGGTCACGCAATATTGTGAATTGACTGGAGTTACAAATGTACAGTGATGGAAACCAACTCAATGATTTGAAGGTCAATCACCCACTGTTGAGCCTGAGTCTTGTCTTTGGTTGCGGATACTTAATTACTTGCTTACTCCTGTTACCCCTCGTGTAGGAGCATAAGCCGCTCACCAGCATTCTCCATCCAATTTTGTCCTGCGCAATTCTTTTCAGTTGCAGTTATAATTCAATGAACTAGTTGATAAGACTTTGACCTCCTACATGATAGGTGCCAGATACAAGTCTCAGTGTAACTATAATCTCTGTGATGCAGGTAAATCGATCTGATTTTTATTGTAAAGAAATACAAGTATTGGACTTCACTGGTAAACACTAATTAAAATATTGAATCCTAGATAGTTTGTTTTCAAAATTTCATACTATTTAGAGGAACGCTTAATTTACTTACGTACAGTTCTAAAATAACATGAACTAACCCACATTTCATTATATGTTGTAAATACAAATAATATTCTATCTAACAATTCTCATCACTTATCAGAAATTGAGATTTTTTCTCACTTAGTACATTATTTACACAACTCATTAAAAAAATGATCAAAGTTGCTATGTATTGAATGTTAAATTAATGCAACAACAAGCCCCTTATTATGTGAATGGGTTCAACATTGTATTCAGGGTATAAAGTCGATCGAAGAAATTAACTTTGCAGTAAATCATAATTGAAATGATAGTTAAGATCAATAAACAAAGATTCTATACAAATTAAAACCTTTTTGAAACGTTAAAATAGATTGTTTTAATTGCTTCTTTATTGGAAAATATAGGATAAGAAAGTATTTCTTGATTACTCGGATTTCCATTTATTTATTTCAAATATGTCTGTTGATTTATTTGTTTACTTGTTGTTGCGATTTTTAGATAATTCAAGAATTGAACAAAACTCCGATATTGTTCAATTTAAATAATAAATAAATGGGGCTTAGACACTACAATATGAATTAGATTTTAATAACCAGTAAGTTACCAGAGTACATCACAGTGTATATTTTATAAATGGGAAAGTCTTTTACCATACAATATTTTATTACTTATAGTAAGACAGTTAAAGTATTGTGTATTTGTAATAAGTTGACAAAATACTGGTACTGTTACTGGTATGGTTATTCGCTATGAGTGCGAAAAAACTGCTATTTGCTACTTATTACAACGGAATAAGACGACTCGATGTAAGATAGATGGTAATACTGTAGAGATAAGGACTTATTTATGTACCAACAAATAATTGACAAATGAGTAAACAATTATATGGAAAATACACAAAATTATAAATGATTTGCTTAACTGGTCTAAGGTCAAATTAGACTAGAATGAACTGGCGATAACTGACATTGAGTCAATAATTTAAAGTATGTATTCAATTTACAATATCAATAGGTTAATTGTTCTAACCAATAAATATAACTGAATTAACGAGTTGTATTTTTGTTTCTTCCTGATATTTAACGCTCCAATGACAATTCTTAGGATTTTAACGAAGAAAAATGGATTACATTCACTTAGTATTGCTTACTTGAATCTTCCCATTGATGCTAAGGACTGCACTTGATCAGTCTCTCACTGGAGTATGTGCATACTGTGCGTATTGCCTCGATATTGCCTTAATTCACAAGCATTAAAAGCAAAGATAGATAGTGGCGAACGTCGAATAACTCTCATTTATCCCAACCGTATTTTTATATTCTGCTAGTCTTACTAGTCAGTCATAAGTAAACTTTACTTATGGATTGCTTTTGTATAACTGAAAACTGAAGTTGTTTTTTCTGTCCCTAAAGTTGCGTGGTGTTTAAACTTATTTTTAAGATGTATTATGAAAAAACCACCAATAAATAGCTTTCTTAAGACACATAAAACTAGTCTTGTAAGTGAATATTCATGCATATTATATCTTAGATCTACTGGTCAGAGTATCAAACTGATAGTGTATCTGGAAATGTTCTGTTCTAAAACCTATTTCTACCGTCGTCGCCAATAATAGTATTCAACTTTGTGTGGGAATATTGTGCCGCCTATAACCAACTTGTTGAATGCACATAGGTTTGCAAATCTCTCACCGTTTTCGTTTCTCTCTCTCCCAGTCTTTCCATGTCGTCCATGATATCTTCATATCCAGTTTTGTTCATTCCGACTTTGGCGTTTAGGTCTCTCATCAGGATGGTCAGGTCTTTTCCTGTGCATTTCGCTATGATTGATTGCATCCTCCCATAGAAATGATCTTCATTGTTGTCATTGGTGGGTGCATAATATTGGATAACATTCATCATGATTCTCTCCTTCTTTGTTTTGAATGATGCTTTGATAATCCTGGATCCATGGGATTCCCATAATATAAGTGCATTTCGTGCTTGTTCGGGCAGCATCAGAGCAGCTCCCTGAGTGTGTGGCACATTTTTCCCTTCGTGGCCGGAGTACAACAGCATCTCTCCCGTACCTAACCCTTGTTGTACAGATTGGGTCTAATGGGTTTTGTTGATTCTGAAAACCATCAAGTTGTACCGTCTCAATTTCGTTGCTATTTCACTGGTCCTCCCGGTCTGCCACAATGTCTGGACATTCCATGTATATCTATAAAAATTGTTGCTCTGATTGTTAGAAAGGGCATCGGCCTCGTGGCTTCCGAAGGATCTTGGTTTTCATCATGAAGCGTCGTAATTCTTCCTTCAACTCTGAAAGCAGAGTTTAAATGGTTTAATTTGTTTATTCTGGTTAGTGGTTTTTTAGAAAGGTTGTTTTCTACGGGATGGGGTTGCTGACACCACGCCCAACCCTACTCCTTTGCCCGGGCTTGGGACCGGTAGTAGCCCTAGAAGAGTTACAGAAGGAGTTGGTTGTGGATACGCATTGTTATAAAGTCCTATACTGGGATGAAACAGCTATCCATTACCTTCTGATTTTTAATAATTATCTAATTAAATTCAGTCTGTGATGTCCAACTTCAAAAGAGATACAACTAGATACATTCAGTAATGAACAACAAAATATTTAAAAAGTAAGCCTTTGAATTTTAAACAAACCTAAACGTTTACGATGAACTTTACGAGTACAGTCATCTTTCATCATCACTGATTGTTCAGGTAAAATAACAGTTGAATGTGGTGTACAGAATAATTGTTGCGATCCATAAGAATTTTGAGTAGTTGACGATTGTAGTAAAGAGGCCGATGATAATGGATGATAATATTGATATTGTTGATGGGTTGGTAAATTCTCATTATTAATACAATTATTATCATATAAATCATGATGCTGTAAAATAAATGATGGAATGACAATGCCGTTAGATATTCCTAGTGGTGGTGATGATGATGACAAAGATGATGGTGGTGAAACAGAAGAATATTGTGAATTAGTAATAAATTTAATATCATTATTTAATTGGAAATTAGGCGGCGAATTAATTGATGGCGGTGATGATAATGAAGATGATGATGCAGAAGATAATGACGATGAATGAAATGAATTAGAATATTCTTTCATTTTTTTTACTGATACTCCTTTTCCATTTGAATTATATGGTGATAAATTTGTTGGTTGAATAGATTTGCCTGTAAAATGAAATACCTGATTAATTGATGATGGTATACATTCACTGGAAAAACTTTGTGGAGAAGTTTTACATTGATGATAATAATCATTCATTTTTTTATTGTCTAGAGATGGTGATGTTTCAAATGATAGTAACTCGTTTTCGGATGTACTTTCTGCAAGGAAAATACAAAATATGTGGTTGAACACAAGTAACACTGATTAAGTAATGTAAATTTCTATCGAAACTTTTATGTACTAATCACTCTTTTAGTGCATCCTTTAAAAAAAAACTTAGCACAGTGTGTGTAGAGAAAGTGTATATGATAAACTGACAAACTGCTTAGATTTTAGGTTATCACTTCAAATATTTTTTCTGGTTAGCTTCGGGAATTGGAGGCAGAGGTTAAAAGAGTGAATAGCAATTGGAAAGTACTGGGAAGGAGAACCCAAGACAGAGCTGGTTAAAGAATCCCGGTCAACGGCCTGTGCTTCTACTAGAGTTAACAGGAGTAAGCAAATCACTTCAAATATACATTTTAAGAGACAGCGAATCAATTAATTCGATTTCGCTTTAGAAATAACGGTTCCAAATGCAGCCAGGTATAACATTGAAAAATTCTATTAATCATCGTTTGATTTTACGGAAATGATGGTATCCGAACAGAGACAGATATTGATTGATTAATTCAAAGTGATTTTAATTTTATGCGATGTAGAAAAGAAACAATTACTAGTGTTGCAAACTCAATTGTATACGTGAACTCATGCTATGATGCATTCAAAAGGAAATTATTGTTTCATTTTCAAGCAAACAGTTCAAAGAATAACATCGAAATAAAAGGTGATTTTTATAGTGTGTAGTAATTTTTCGAAGAATAGGACTCGGACTAGCTCGTGGATTTTTAAATTAATATTTTGAGGTTTTTGAACGGCTTATATGTAGATGAACTCGGTGCTTCAAAATCCAAATTTTCAACGACTAACTCTCGTTATACTGACGTAGCATAACGACTAATAAATATTTGTGCCAGATTATTGCGTTGCTTATGAATAACCAACTGCATACAATATCAACTTGATTATTTATTTACTATTTATAAACTCTATGTAACACATGGCTCAGTCTCCTTAATGATCAATATTTATGTTGACGTAAGAAAATAAGCTGATTAATATTATGTGTACTTCGATTAGTAAAGAATAAGCCGATTACTGATGACTTACATGCAGCTTCAGTGTTATCAATAATGAATAAGTTTTTGTATACACAGTTGTTTACAAGCAACTACGAGAAATAATAATATTAAGAATTCTCATCTATAAAGTACCACATTTAGTAGGAAGGAGCTATACTTTTATTTGAAGAGTTGTGTCTTAAATGAGAATATCTTAAAACTAGGTTGAACTAAATATCTTCTAGAAACCATAGACAATTTATTCGAGTTCCTTAGAGAACAAAGTGAACTATACGATCTATGTTACACAACTGATCCTACCTATCAGTGCATAATATGATTACAACATGCTTAGACATTATTAGGGTCACTGTTGCTTACTATCAGAATCAACGTAGGACACGTTTGAGGCATTAGACGAACGGAAAGCCATCAACTCAGTGTTCAATTGTGCGTTTCTTTCTTCAAGTTCACGAATACGATCGATCGCACGACGAAGAACAGCAGATTTATTCATCTACAGTAAATACAAAATAAAATAACATATTATACATCCAATTACTTTAAGCAAAGAAAATTTATGTAATTGACTCTGCGATGCGCTATATGTGTGACGGTTTGTGATACCACTACTCGGCTGCCCAAACTATAGTAGGTGGGTTTGAAACTGATATCTAATGGTTGAAAAGAGTGTTGCAACCTTTGGCCCACCACCACGCAATCCACAAAAATAGATGACACATTAGGATGAGCGGTGCAATTGCAGATTACTACTGGTCTAGACGTTCAACCCATAATCATCGAGTGAAAATGTTCAAGTACCGACATTATTAGTCCCAGCATAAAATGTATTCAGCTTTATGCACGATTAATGGCCATTAATTAAGTTCTATGGTACACAATCATATTTTATCCGATTAACAATCCAACAGCCAGCTAGCATTTAGATAGATTCTTAACAACGAAAAATTCATAACTTACTTTAACATCAGTAGATGATATAGGCGTTAGAAGCCTACGGAGTTCATCAATTTTCCCATTTATACTGGCACGATAACGTTTCTCAATAGCATTATGAGGTGCTCGTTTAATGGTTTCATGTTTTTGTTCACATTGCTCTACATTTACCTTGTTGTCTTAAAATAAACATGTAAAGAATACCGACTGGTCAGTAAATACAGAAGCCAGAAAAGATTTTGAATACAATGTAGTGAGAAAACAAGTTACATGATTAAAAGTTATCAACCGCAGCCAATACAGATAATTGAAGTTCGACGTATGTACCATTAGGTCCCGGCTCAGTGTTCTAGCGGTTAAGTGCTTAAGCGTGAGGCCGGAGATCATTGGGTTCGATCCCCAGTGGGGTTGTTGATGAACACTGATAAGGATCCCCATACTAAGATGACACAGACATCTAGTGAGTCTTGGTTTTCAACGATCGTTTAGCTAATATCAGTTTGATTTAAATTACGAAAATTCCACAAACTTCATGACCCCATTATGTTAAAACATCATTAACGAGAAATGTTTTAAAGGCCAAAACATGTGCTTCGTCTCGGATCGGTCTAATGGGAAATCAAAAAACAAGAGTAGTATTACTAGGGGTTAATTTACGTACAGTGGAAGCCAGAGCAGCTTAAGTCAACCTGGATCATTTCTAGAGTTATCGTGATGTTTGTCTGGTTGTAAAAGCCTGGTGATACAACACATCGGTAATAGTTCAGCTCGATACTATCGAAACTAAACTTCTTCGAGTTGAGGATACTTGAAGACTTTATGTGGTCAATCACCATCGTCTGAAGAGGACTGTTAACATCTAGTGGTAGAAACATGTTAGTAATGCCAATGTCTAACAATGTGCGTTTGGACGCAGTGACGAAAATTCAACTGATTTCATCATCTTGAAACACTAGCTTACATAACGTATTATTTGCCAGTGATAGAACTAGGTAGAAAAAATGGTGGTGGCAAGTTTGTGTTATAATTCTATATGATCATTGTATAGACTGTCTATTGATTTATCATGATTGCCTGGTTAAGGTCACACAGCTCAGTGGGTTGAACCGTTGTCTTGCATTGATCAAGATAGCAGTCCATGGAAATTTTGGCGTGCTTTGTTTTACCATATTCTTCATCAAATCAAGTAATTTTAGCTGAACGAGATTTATCTTATCTGCATTTTAAATTGAACAATATCTTTTACGGAATAATATTTTACACGTATCTTGTACACTTTTTTATACTATCTCATTTATTTGTTGATTATTTAGTATGACTCTTTTACCGCTTCATAATATTACCAATGCATTCCATGTGGCAGTTATTTTTCATGCTCTTCGTACCAAAAATCACATAATCCAAATAAATTCCAATGGCAATACACATTCGACCTAATGTTTTATATCCAGTAGTTAGGAATTTCGGGTAAGTAATAGTGAGGTTTGACGAAGGGTATTAGGGAACGATGGTAAAACAGTCGATGAGGTTATGAATCTTCATCGACTGAGATGGTTGGGTCACGTGTTACGTATGCCTGAACACCGATTACCACGACGTGCAATGCTATCCGGTATAGGAGATGGTTGGAAGAAAGTTAGGGGCGGCCAAACCAAAACGTGGCATCAGTGCTTGAAGTCACTAACTTCTAGTCTGAGCCATGTTGGTAGATGGAAACTACTTGGTTGTGGTCCGCGTGACTATCGTAATCAATGGTTGGAGACTCTTGGTGACATGGTTCAGAGTCGATCACAATGGCGTCGGTGTATACACTCGCTATCTTCCCTTAAACTAGGAGATTAAAATTGCTTCACACCTTTCTTTCTGCGAACCAATTTTTTCTTCTTGTACTGTATCTCTATATGCAATCTTTCTCTTATATATTACCACCTCTGAATTAACTATTTTTATGAATCCGGTGTTCATCTTGTTGTGTTAATGAGGTATGGCAACTTTGACCGATGCGTAAATGTGCCTGGTCCTACGTTGTAGCTGACTGACTGATTGACTGAGTTAGGAATTTCAAATGAAATGACTCAAAATCCAAATCCTATGCATATGCATTAGTAGTTTAATTTTAATGAGCAGCTAGAAAATTAAGCCATGGAATGAAAACGCGTTGACTGCAAAAACTCAACCGAACAAAGTAACAAGAAGTTCCAAAGGGACTTGCTATGAAATTATTAAAATAACCAATGGCTAAATAGCGGGTGACTACACTGAAACAAACTTGAGTAGTCCTAGGTGAGTTAGCTCTGTACTTTTAGGGCCTTACCGCCGGCAACGAAAATAGGTGGGGTGTCAGTCAGTCAGTCAGCTACAACGTAGGACCAGGCACATTTACGCATCGGTCAAAGTTGCCATACCTCATTAACACAACAAGATGAACACCGGATTCATAAAAATAGTTAATTCAGAGGTGGTAATATATAAGAGAAAGATTGCATATAGAGATACAGTACAAGAAGAAAAAATTGGTTCGCAGAAAGAAAGGTGTGAAGCAATTTTAATCTCCTAGTTTAAGGGAAGATAGCGAGTGTATACACCGACGCCATTGTGATCGACTCTGAACCATGTCACCAAGAGTCTCCAACCATTGATTACGATAGTCACGCGGACCACAACCAAGTAGTTTTCATCTACCAACATGGCTCAGACTAGAAGTTAGTGACTTCAAGCACTGATGCCACGTTTTGGTTTGGCCGCCCCTAACTTTCTTCCAACAATTTCCAATACCGGATAGCATTGTACGTCGTGGTAATCGGTGTTCAGGCATACGCAACACGTGACCCAACCATCTCAGTCGATGAAGATTCACAACCTCATCGACTGTCTTACCATCTTTCCCTAATACCCTGCGTCTAACCTCACTAATACTTACCCGGTGATCCCAGCAGACGCCAGCAATATTTCTAAGGCATCTGTGGTCAAATACTAGTAGCTTACGAGTGTCTTCTACTCTTAATGGCCATGTTTCGCTGCCGTAAATTAAAACAGAACGGACTGCCGCGCAGTATACTCGTCCTTTTATTGATAGACGGATATCTTGCCTTCACCACAGGTGACGTAAGTTGGCAAAAGCCAAACGAGCTTTTCGAATCCGTGCATTCAGAGGGGGAGAAGCGCATTCCAAACATCCTGGCATTGTTGCTCAGTGCTACCAGAAGACTCTGCATTTTGTCAGCGTCTTCACCAAACAGGACTATGTCATCTGCGTATTCTAAGTCGATAAGTGGACCTCCTGGATGGAGATCAATACCCGAGAACTCAGTCAACGAGAAAGTTATTTCCATCAGGAGATCTATGATGAAGTTAAACAAAAATGGGGAAAGTGGACAGCCTTGACGGACACCACTTGAGGTTGCAAAAGTAAATGACAGTTCGCCATAAGCTCTGACTCGATTAGTAGTGTTCGAGTAAAGAGCCTTTACAAGGTTTATGTACTTCTGAGGTACGCCTTTTAATGACAGACACTGCCACAGAATCTCGCGGTCTACCGAGTCAAATGCTGCTTTTAAGTCGAGAAAGATCACCATCGTCGGACGCCGATAAGTATGCCTGTGTTCTAGAATCTGACGAATGGTGAATATGTGGTCGATGCAGCCACGACCAGGTCTGAAGCCAGCTTGGTTCTCTCGTGTTTGCAGTTCATGAGTCTTAGTTAGGCGTCTGATAATTATCGAGGCTAGTATTTTAGATACTATATTTGTTAAACTAATCCCTCTGTGGTTGTCACAGGATGATTTTGACCCTTTCTTATGTATTGGGACGATAAGTGATTGTGACCAGTCAGATGGAATAACGTCTAATTCCCAGATCTTAGCTAAAATATTAGTCAACCTAATCACTAAAATTGGACCACCATCCTTAAAGACCTCTGGAGCCAGTCCATCTGGACCAGCTGCCCTTCCTCGTTTCAGACTAACTATAGCCTTTTGAACTTCTGCCAGAGTTGGGGAACCTACTTCATTGTTCCATTCACATTGTTTGGGAATGGAGGGTAGTTGTAGAGTAGCTGAAGGCCAGTTGAACTGTTCTCTGAAATACTATTTCTAGGATCGACATTCTCGAACCTTCATTCCTTTATGAGAAGGCAGCGTTGCTGCAAAAGCTGGTTGCCCAAGGAAAACGCCTTACTATAGTCACATTATAGAGCGGGCACCACGACTTCGCCCTCAAACCACAAGTTCGTATAGTCGAAATTTCATCGAACATATCTCAAAAACAACGTTACATGGACATTATGGTGAAAACATTGTAAAGCACAGCACACTTTTAAGATGGAAAATATTAAGAAACAGGGTCTGGAAAGAAAGTATTCATATATAACGTTTATCCACTGCTTTGTGGGTCAGACCTTTAGGTCGAAGGCTCCGGGTGTGACCCTCTAAGAAAACCACCTGCTTCGGTCTGAGCACTCGGGCAGTACCACAGCTCCTCTCTGAGTTGAGGATGTTAGACGACTCTCTGTGTTTGATCATCGTTGTCTCCGAAGGGTTGCTGACATCCAGTGGCAACACCATATCAGTAATGCAGAGGGTCGACATCGTGTGTTCGAGCACAGAGACGATAATCCAATTCGTGTCGCCATCCTGAAACATCAACTTCGGTGGCTTGAACATGTTCTACGAATGTTGTCTCAGAGAATTCCACGGCGTGCATTAATTGCCGACGCTGGGACTGGTTGGGAAAAGCGAAGAGGTGGTCAGTGTATGACCTGGTATCGTGGTATAAAAGAAAACTGCAAAGGGCTGGCTTGTGTTGGTCCTTCACTACTCTCTGGCTGGGGTCCGAGTGATGATGCGACACAGTGGCTAGAGACGTTATCTGATATGGCTCAGAACAGAAGCCAGTGGCGATCCTACTGTAACCTTCTTTTACTTCATAAAAAAATGGTTGTATCTTCATTAACTGAAAGATTTCTTCTGATTGTACCTTTCCGGTTCCCCATTATTACTATTATTAATATTATTACACTATCTTACACTAATCTGTTCGTTATTGTTCTTTTTTCTTCGAATTCTCATTGGCGCATATATATTTGGTGCCCCCTTGTACCAATATTTATGTGTCCAAATAAATAAATAAATCACACACAAATCAAGTGACTTCTGTAGCGCATATGTATTCGGTGCCCCTATATACCAATATTTATGTGTTCAAATAAATAAATCATAAACAAAACAGAACCTGGTACATACGTGGGTCGGCTCAAGCTACCGCACCACATCAGGACAGAACAAAATTGTCAAAATGAATAATAATCTAAAGACACTTACCTTCTTCATTCTTGTTGATCACAAAGTGTGTCTTCTCAGCACCTGAGCTGCTCGAAGAGTATTGAATGGGACACGACTTACTTGAGTCTACCCCGTTTTTATTAAGAGTTTGGATTTCAGAATCGCATAATAGCCTGGATATTAGTGGTACTTCATATGTACGCTGAGTGGGTGCACAAACATGACCATCTACCTTTACTTGAGGGAATGTAGAACGATGGACAGATGGAATTTCCCAAGAGAAATTCTGTTTGTTATGTTCATTTTCCCATAGTTGCAGCCCTAAAAGAATCATGTCATGAAGTTAATTGGTTTAACCTGTATTTGTTGTAGAAACGTCTGAAGTTGGTTCAGACTTCAGAAGTGATTCTAAAGTCGTCTTCTCAGACCGGCTAGAGACAGCTTCATCATCCATATTTTTCGCATCAGGGCTATCGAAAAATGTAGACACATCGAAAGAGAAATCGTTTACATCGATTCCATCTAAAAAACTTTCGGAAATGTCATTAAACAACGGATCGTTAAAGATCTGCGACAAAGTCACTGAATGCAAACAGATTATTATCTATTTGTATGTAGTTACCTGGCTCCATGGTTGACACCGAAGAACAGTTCCCATCCAAATTGCCACGCACTTAATCTACCCAGTTATAGGTCTGACGACCACAGAAACTGAAGAACTGGTGCTTGGGAAATATTAATGGATAAGCTAGGGTGCTGAAAAAGTATTGATAGCACAAGTTTAGTTGATATGTATTTAAGTGGGAAGAACATGCAAGAAAACAGATATGATCAGTAATCAGGGAATCACTTGCACAGCAGTTAGTAAATTTGCAGATGATAGGTAAAGGTTCAGGTTTACAGGTGATCATGTAGGTTGTAAAAATTCAATCATGTTCAGTCTTGATTCCCATAAACGAGTCAACCCGTATGTGAAGGCTGAATTGTTTGGTGATGTTTTTAGACCTATCAGCTACCGCTAACATGTTCATCTGCACAGCATTAATGGGAAAACAGTTTAGAAATATCATTCGGACCAACCACTTTTCACTTGACGGGACATATTTACAGGTAGCAGTTGACGGCGAGACTATGATTTAAGGACGAACCAAATAGATTTAAGATAATAGGTTTTGGAATTCGACACGAAATTCGCTTATTCATCTGCCTAAATAGCGTTTTGGCTGACCATAGCAAGTAGGTGAACATTTCTAAGGTCACTTCAGCGTCGCTCAAAGGTCGTCCATGAATTAGTTTTACCAAGTAAAATTCTAAGGTTTACAAAAAGTAGATTTATTTAATATCGGTTCTCTACAAATTACTGGATAAAACTAATGTTCTAAGGCAAGAAAACTATAAGCTTATCGACTTCACATCTGAGATGTCTTAGACAAGGTATGACAGCTACACATAAATGGTTTTCTGGCCCCCGAGATCTTTAGGTCATGTTTAATCTAATTTCATGAAGGCTGCGAGCAGCCAAATGCTGAGCTTTTCTATGGGCTGATGGACGGTAATTTGGCCAACATTATGAGGCAAACTTGAAGCTTTCACAGTCGCTCAATCATAGTTAACGTAGAGCCCGACACAAATATGAGTTAACCCAAGCCCCCATATCACATTGGGATAACTAAGTGAAAATAACAAGGTGAATAGCAAAGAAGTCAAAATAAATGAAGCAGTAATGATAGTACGAAAGTCCTTATACTGTCACAACTGCGCAACCCTTAAATTCGACTAAATTATTACACTTTGGCCAACAATCTTGGTGACTAAACTTGACACCAGTGACCGTCATCTCTCACTGTACAATATATACCAAATGCCCTGGTATGGCCGAGAGTCGGGTGGGCCCGCCCTCTCTTGAAATGCTCTCACACGGCCACGCGTATACAGCCTCCGCCAGGGAAGTCCTACTCACTGCCTTCTCGTGCGGGGTTGTTTACGAAACTGAAAGGACGAAAAGCGAATGTCTGGTGCTTTAACCGGATTTCAAACCAATGGTGCACATGAACTCCAGTGTCCTGTGGGAACAAATGGCGTATGAACCGATTCCTTGGTCACCGGCTTCCATGGGACTGCATCTCCTCACGATGCTCCACTGCCTTGTGGATCAGACCTTAGGGTCAAAGGCTCGGGGTGTGGCCTCCTAAGAAAACCACCTGCCTCGGTCTGGGCACCCGGACAGTACCACAGCCCTCACAAAAATCGAATGATCTATGTGGCGCATATCTACTTGGTGCCTCCTTGTACCAATGTTCATGTGTTCAAATAAAAATAATAATAAGTAGATCTAGCCAGGTGAATAACGGATCTGTCTTGTCATATGATGTAGAATGAGGCTGAGTAAGTTGGACCATTATCATTGGTGTTATTATTGTTGGACTTTTCTCCCCAATATAGCTGACATGGAAGCATATATTTATTTGAGATTTATCAACCCTCAACTGGAGGCAAGACTTTGACTTCATATCCCTGACAGTACACAGTGAATATCTTAACGTTAGAAAGACGGGGCCACTGTCTTGCAACTTTATTATTAATTGAAGAAGAAATGTTGATTCGACTCAACATATGCCTGTAGGACAATGTAACAGTGAATTAATGAATGCATGATGAGGCATCCGAAGTCAAAACTAAGCAATGTTCTATGATATCAAGCCAGCCCTGGGTGTTATGGTTTGGTCGCTTATCAAGCAATATGAAATAACCTAACTTGTCAGTGATTCTATGATTTTGGACTTTTCTAAGTGTCTATATATAAGTTTGGCCACTACGCATTATCTTAAATTGTTGACCCAGGTGACGCAAAAGGCCCATAAGATGTGGATCGAAAGGGAACGACAAATTACTAAAAAAATACCACGGTAATAATTGTTGTTTGAAAGTCTGACAATGATTAGACGATGCATAGACATACCCTCAGTTGTTTGGTTAATCGAGTGACTTTCAAAACTCCCGCGGATATCCAGTTTCCAATATCAGTTTTACTTGTGATGAGCGGAAAATTAGAACAGTGTTTCTGTAACGGTAATAAAAATCATTACATATGACGTTACTAATGTGAGTTTGTTTTCTTTATTGCAGGGTAACAAAGATTGATCGTTCTAGAAGAAGAGGAACAAGCTTTACGCAGGCTGAACCTGCAGAACAATGAATAAACCCATTCTGTAATAAGCTTCCCTTTTTGTAATCGAACCGCGTCTTTCGATTTTTAAATATATTTCTGTTGTGCCAGTACGCCGCGTTCACGCCAGTTCTGACTGTTGTGTTGTTGTTTCAAATCGTTCCTGCTACCGAAGAAACAATAATACAACGTGCTACATTTCTATTTTCGGTAGCGAATGTATTGCAGGTGACCCTACAATTTTCTGATTATTTCTGCAGGATTTGGTAAGGATACATGGTATTGAGGCGAAGTACAGTTTTCAATCTGCTTAAACTCTATTCATTAGGAATGCCATCCAATTTGCCATTATCGACAGTGTATCCCATGAAAGTGGGACGTGTAAATTAGTAAGTTGCCGCTTGAAATGCATGGGACAAGATCTACTGCTTGGTTTGGTCTGTCGCAGTCGAAGCTGTGGGGTGAATGAGGTCCTGCTAAGCAGTCTCAATACTTGGCCGCAAAGTGGTCAGTGTCTAATCCTAGGGGACTTTAATGCACCAACGGTAGACTGGATTGTCAGATAATTCCTTCGAGAAGGAACTATTTGATGTGGTTTTCATATGTGCCCCAGTGCAACATGTGAAAGAAGCGACTACGTACGACCCGGACTCCGAATCACCCTTAATAGATCTTATGTTGACTCACTATGAGGATGACGTTGGGAACCTCGACTATAAGCTAGCCCTCGGCAAAAAGGGTCATGTAGTTCCAACCTTCGACTTGCATATAATTGTCGAACATGCGCATGCGTCGGCTCAATCCAGACCTAACGTCTGGAAAGCAAACATACAAGATACCATGCACTCAGCATCGTCAGTAGATTGGGCAATAGACTCAGAGCCCTCAATTGAAACGGCATGGGACGTATTTCGAAATTTATACCTAAAAGTTACCGCACTCCATACTTCTTGTACTACACCAAAGGGGCCGGGAAACCCTCTATCATGGTTCAGTAGGGGGGGTCGCATCCTCCGTAAGAGAAGAAACATTTGGGATAGATTTAGGCTTATAGGGACTGATGAGACGAAATCTCGGAATACCTGTACCTCGACTCTCCGTAAGTCTAGAAAGTTGTACGAAGAAAAATCGTTAAGGAATCCATAGAATCAAAGAACTCAATGTCTTTGGTCTGCTAAATCAGCTTGACATGGGCAAATCCACGGGGCCCGATGAATTGCATCCTAGGCTACTAAAGGAATTAGCTAAATTCGGTGCGAACTCTTTAGGTATATGCTTTAACCTATCCATAACGCAGGGTCGTTTACCAAAAGACTGGAAAAACGCCATAGTAAGTCCTGTCTTCAAAACAGGTAAGAAACACAAACCTGAGAATTACTGACCCGTTAGCCTAACTAGTGTGGTTGTTAAAATCTTAGAAAAGATTATTCGAAATGATCTGTTTAAGTATCTCGATGAAAACCGGATCCTTTCGGAGAAGCAGCACGGTTTCAGAATAGGTTACTCTTGTCTCACTAACTTGTTAGTGGCTCATGAAAGCTGGCGCGCTCTTGAGGACCAAAAGTTACCTGTAGACGTAGCCTTCATTGATTTCAGCAAAGCTTTTGACAAAGTTCCACACAACTGGCTGTTATATAAGTTAAGAAATGTCGGAGTTGAATGTAATCTATTGATGTGGATAAAAGACTTCTTAGTTGGGCGTCAACAAAGATTAAGGGTGAACGCTAAATTATCTAGCTGGGAAACTGTGCTTAGTGGAGTGCCTCAGGGTACAGTTTGGGGGCTAGTGCTATTCCTCTTGTATGTAAATGACTTTCCTCGTCTCCTATCATCATCGGTCTTGCTATATGCAGACGATGTCAAGATATGGAGAACGATACGATGTAAGGGTGATAGCTTAGAACTCCAAAATGACCTGAAGAAATTATCTGAATGGTCTCAAACATGGCAGTTGCCGATAAATACTTCCAAGTGTGTCGTGATGCATATCGGTCATCAAGGTACAGATACATACACGATGAATAACACTGAGCTACCTATCGTCCAGACATATAATGACTTAGGAGTCATCGTTAGCCAAGACCTAAAGACTACTTTAAAATGCCGTGTAATAGCCGCCAAAGGTTTTAGAACTTTATGGTCAATACGTAAGGTCTTTGGTCATGTCGACGCCAAAGTCTTTTCGACTTTGTATACAGTGTTCATACGTCCTAAATTTCAATACTGCGTACAAGCGGCTGGTCTCTGCTTTAGAAAAGACAGTGAAATTTTGGAAAAGGTTCAGAGAACAGCAGCCAAGCTGATTCCCGGAATAGCGAAGCTCCCGTATGATGCTCGACTGGCCAAGCTAACCCTTTTCACGTTGTCATATCATAGAATTAGAGGCGGCTTGATTACACTTTTCAAATTGCTTGGTAATAAATTTGCACCTGATATGCCCTCATTTTTCTTGTCTTCCAAAACAGGGAATTTACGGAGACACTCCAAAATAGTTCACAAGCCCAGAACAAATTACTTGTCAGCTGACTATCGACTTTTCCATCAAATCACCAACGAGTGGAATTCATTACCTCAGCAAGTGGTTGAGGCTCCATCTATCGACTCTTTCAAAAGAAAGTTGGATCAACTGAGAGACCACCGTTGCATGGAACAACACAGGCCATCAAGCCTCCTGTCCTTTGCAAACTTAAACTGAAACTTTCGAACACCACTAAGTGCTCCTAATGGTTGTGTACAGCATAAAAGAAGCTTTTGACTTACAGGCTTCCTTATCTGGTAGTAGTGGATCATCGGTAACTTCAACTATGAACCTAGGTATGCTTGATAAGCAAAACAAGTCATAATAAATCATAATGAAATACTGCTCCGAATCTCTAAGATTGTATCAGGTTTCCTCTTGAAAGACTCTTGGATATCGCTTGGACGACCTTAGCCGGCAGCAAACTTTAGGATTCGATAACTTGCAAAGAGTGTAAGGTATGCCTACACTGCAGTTTGCTGTGCTGTATCTTCGGTTTTCAGAAGTTAGTATAGGAGGTCACTCGACCTATATTGATCCTGGAAATGTATAGTACTATGAAGATCCAATCTCGTTTTGAGCGTATCAACAGAAAGTACTAATATCACATTTTCGAGTAGAGAATTTGAGTAATTTACTACTCAGAGTGTGAAACAGAACTCCACACGTAAACGATTTGGTTTTGGTGTTTGAACTTTCTCAAAATATCCGTTCTAGATGGAAGGAAAAGTAGAATATTTCATTCACATTTGCTTTTAATTTTAATCCTTGAATAGTGTGACCTGTCCGAATGCTTATGAATTCTAGTCTGTAACGGAGAATTGTTGGCTCGAAAGTATTCAATGGTTGAAGCCGACGTTCGGAGAGAAGGAAAAGCACAGAAACTTTGTTCTTCGTAGACAGTGGTGCTTTTTGTCGGGATAAAATATTCATAAGTTTGAGGGGCTGTTTTGTGAACCTCAACTCTTCAGCATAATAGACAAAATTATCAGGGTTAGTGTTTTCTGGGATAATTTGCATAACAATGTTTCTTCTTCAAGGGAAAGTCTCGTGAGAGTCTTTGGGGATGTTCTCGATAAAATCGGAATAATATAAGCATTAGTTACTAATGTAAGGAACAAATGAAAGTTAAAGCACTGAGTACTGAGTGTTTGCTGCGTCATGTCAGAGATTTAGTAAAGTTCAGCTTATTATCACATCAAATAAGTAGAGAGGATTATGAGTGCTAGGTTGCACGATGACGACATTCCTTGCGTAACTACCGAAGTAAAAATATTCGGCTGAATGCAGAACTAATGAACCAAAATTTATTCGACTAGGCCAGAGTATGTTCTTCTGAATAAGGTACTGTACATTTCTGAGTGACTCGTATTAAGTTATATCAAAACACAAACTCCGTGTTCGATTCAAACGGTCCCATTTTAAGGAAGAAAAAATATTATGCAAAAAGTTCAAAATACAACAAACGGTACAACCTATTCTTTACAGTCAACGGTTTCTCTGGTACAAACTTACATGCTAAAGAACAAAAGTAATAGTCAATAAACAAGTGCTTTATACCTGGAAATCAATAAAATATTCCCGCCAGGACGGGACCAGGTGTCTTTTTTCAAGGATTCCAGTAATTTTTCCAAGCAGACTGTCAAAGGTTGACAAGCATGTACCGAAACACACCGTGACCTTGAGTTTATTCAAACACGGTGTTATTGCTAATGGTCTGGTAACGTGCAACAGTAAAATTAAGTAACTAATTAAGTAAACAAAGCCTAATAACTAAAGTCCAGACGGGTAAGACTGAAGAACATGAAATGCTGTTATGACAGACTTGAATAAGTGTTGAAATACAAGACAAGGGAATAAACAAGTCAATCACAGTGCTGTCTGACAAAATGCTGTGGGTGGATTTCCAACATGTTATTTCCGTTAAAACTTTATCTTTCATTGTCGCGCGTGTCACGAGTTCATTGCTGCTAGGTGAGCAAAAAGGGTCTGTATTGTAGTCAAGGTAACGTTTTAGTTACTGTGAGAACATAGATATTGTTCTTGAGGTAGTAGACACGATGAAGGATTACTCAGTTAATTAGCCGAAATGTTTCAATACCGAGCGGTAAAGAATTATTCTAAATACATTGGGGAAACCTAGGAAGCTTGTATCCGCAAGGTGGTTATACTCCTAAGCCACTATTAACCCATCTCAGGTTCACGATTTAGTATTATGTGATCTTCATAAGGTCCGTATCAGTACTCCATCTGGAAATGAGGCTGAACTTCACAATGCGTCTCTATGTTTAGTCTGACAAAACAGCATTTCATAGTATTTGCAAGAGTAGAGTACACAAAGTACAATCCTGCCACATACAGTAACATATCTATGACT